TTTTTTTTTTTTTTTTTTTTTTTAATCCTCACCTGAGGATATTTTTTCCATTGCTTTTCAGAGAGAGTGGAAGGGGGAGAGAGAGGGAGGAGAGGGAGAGGGAGAGAGAGAGATATCGATGTGAGAGACACACATTGACTGGTTGCCTCCTACTTGTACCCCAACCAGGGCCTGGGATCAAGCCTGCCTGGGACCAAGCCTATAATTGAGGTACATGCCCTTGGCCAGAATTCGTCAGTCCGAGAGCCGATGCTCTCTTTATCCACTGAGCCACACTGGCTAGGGCTCTCCTCTTTTTTTAAAAAAAAATAGGGGATATTAGTACTTGGGTACTAATCCTTCACAGACTGGGTATTAGAACAGTACCAAAAAGGAAAGAAATTTTTTTCCCTTTATCTGCTCCACTAGTCCTTCAAAAAATTTTACGATTAGAATGTTTTAAGGGTATATTAAAACTAATTAAGGTGCAAAGTAGATGTTAATCAGATTTTCCTTATATGCCACTCAAATTTTGATGGACTATTTTCTCACCAGCCCATCATTTTAAATCTTAAGAATGTTTAGGTATACTTTTCAAGCTTTTAAAACAGCCATTCTGTCTGAAAAAAAATCAAAGTAAAATCTCAGTATTTATTTGGAGTCATTCTCCTTAGAAAACAGGTTGCTACAAATATTTACTTTTACAGGAATAACTGGCCAAATCGAGTCAAACTGGCCATCTTTACTACACATCAGGCTCTATGATCAAATAATCGAAAGAAGTATGATGATTTAGAAAATTATTTCATAAACCCGTCTGATTTCTATTAGCAAACAGGGTAGGATTCAGATGAAAATAATTTAAAATGCATTACTTACTTTTGCAAATAATTCCTGTTGCTGTCTCAATAACTCTTCTTCAGGAATGCCAAGGTTTTCCAAACGAGAACTGGCCTTTCTTCTTTTTAATGCTACAGTCTTGCATTCTTGTAAAACTTCTTTTACTTCAGTGATGTAAGAGCCAAAGCCCAAACTTTCTAGGGCTGGGGAAATGAAAATATGAAAGAATGATAGAACACAGCTTTTACTCTACACATGGAACTTTAAGTTTCTGTTTTGGAGGAGGAGGTGATTGTTTTGTAATAATGCTACCTATTTTTTAGTTGCACAGCAATTACCTGGATGGCTATGACAAAATATTTTATCAACCTCCTTAATATTAGATTGCAAATTAGTTGAAACTTAAGAAACATTTCTGGGCACAGGCCTTCCCTTTTCCCTTTCTTTCTAAGTTTTAAAAAACTAAAGCATTTCCTGTGAGAAAAAAAAGCCCAATGTAAGAACATGTGGTTTTAGTAAGAAAACATTTTTTCTATGCCACTCATAGTTAATCAACACCATTAAGTCAGTCACTTTCTGAAAGAATACCAAAAAAGCAAATATTTGAAATATATTCGTTAACATATTTTGTGCCATTTGGCTTAGAAAAAGTCAGCTTTGGTAACACATGCTCTAAATTTCACTAGGATTGAATGAAAAAATAGGTAAATTTTTTTTGTCCAATATACCAACAAGAATTACTTTTAGCAAAGACACTCAAACTGCCAAGTTTAAGAAATACTGGTGGAAATAACTTATGAAATTCAGCATTTATATCCAGCCAACAAATTTCCCTTGAAAAGAAAACTTAACAGGAAGGACTATGAAAATATTTCAAGTGGTGTGGCAGAAAAACTGGGATAAAAAACAATTATAAGGATAGACGAAGCATTAACAAAACATTCTTTTTTCCACATTTTGAAATAAAATTTTACAAGAAAATGCACTCTCTAAACACTTTCTGTAATCCAGAAAAACAAGGCATAAAATTTCCTTTTGGCTCATAGTATTTAAAATCATATTGTATAGTTCTACATGCTGACTAAAGCACTAAAGGTGTATTTTTACTGAGCCAATGATGAAACAGAGGTAGTGAAAAACACAATAAATCAACTTAATTTAGTTCATCAGTTCTTGCAGTCTTTTAACAATGATGATGAGCCAGACTACCCTCAATAGATTCCTAAATTCCACCTTCAGGGGTTTGCTCTTCAGGGAGAACACCAGATACACCTTTACAAATCCACATCCCCATGTAGGCTGGGGTTTTAAGATATTTTAAATGATTTCAACTTTAATGACTTCAAATGTTAAACTAATTTCATCAATCTTCTTTAGAAATAGTCCGATGCCAAAAAGCAGAGTACTATTACTTGAATTTTAATTAAGGTAAATTGCTGTCCCTACCTTGCCACCCAAAAAACTTCAGTAACCATTACTTTGAGTTCTGTACATCAAATGAACTGCTGTATAATTCTTGATCTCAAGAAGCTTGGGGTATAGTGTAAAATTAAGTGAAAACTAGGCAGCTTGAGTTTTTCACCTGAATGGACTGAATATTTTTTAAGTGTCAATGCTAGATGCCAACATTTTTATCTTTATCTTTTTTAAAGGCACAAGTAGAGTTAATATATTTTCAATAATATTAGCTGGAGACAAAACCAAAGGAAACCAAGTGAATGGTTTATGATTTCCTGACGCATTCTAAAGAACATCTTGCTTCCTTAGCCCTACGCCAAAGTCCTCCAGGATCTAGCCCCACCAACCTCTCCAGCTTTACGTTTGTGATTAAATCCCTGCATACTTCTACTAAATCTGACTGCTCAGTGTTTCCCAGCGGGCACCAGTTTCCCATATTCATTGTGATGGTAATACATTCAAGGCCCAGATAAAACTCCATCTTCAAATTAAGCTTGCCTGATCCTCCTAGACAGAAGTAATCTTCCCTTTTGAAACCAGATAGACGTAGAATTTGAAACTTGGTTGTCACTGCATTTGTATTGTATAACCTTGGATACGTTGCTTAACATCTCCAAGCTTCAGTTTTCCATCTCTAAAATGAGAATAGCATTTATTCCACAATATCTTCCTACAACCAGCAGCAGTACAATATCTTCCTACAACCAGCAGCAGTATAATGGTTAAGCATGTAGGCCCTAAGTCTGCCAGGGACTGACCCCCAGCTCTACCTTATACTCGCTGTGTCACCCGACATAAGTTCCTTCACCTCTACCCTTAAAATAAGAATAGCAGTACCTACATCTCATCAGATCAGACGGCTGTGAAGAATAAATGAATTAATATAAAGAGCTCAGAACAGAGGTTGGCCCATAGGAGCAAAATAAAATATTCACTATTATATTTGTATTAATTAGTTCTAGGGTTGTAGGAATCAACCAAGTAATTAATCTAAGGGACTTAACACAGTCTCTAGAGTAGCTTAACTGACTTAAACTATGTATTATTCATCTTTATTTTTTCTCTTACATTTAAAAAAAGTACCCTGATACAGGACCTAAATAAACATACAGTTATGCATTATCACACCTAAATTCAAGTTGAACAAGTGTATTTATAATATAAAATATTAAATTTACAAAATTAACAAATCAACACAATGGAGAGATACCCCTTTGAAATATCATGAATTACCAGGCTAGACATTAAAAAAAAATTCATTCCAAACTACCTTTAACCATGGAGGGTTTGGGTTAAAAATTAACAAAAACAACTCACCTTTAAAAACATCTAAGGTTGAGAACACTGCTTAAAAAAAATTTGCAAGTAAAGCCAAGGTTAATATTTAATATTTATTATTCAATGAGCTGCTATATACAAATATTGTACTCACAATAAAATGGTTTAACAGGAACAGCCAGAAGTTTAAATTCAAAAACTGAATTGACTTTAATCCAAATTTTAAATACATTTTGGCTAACAGATTAATAACTGGAAACAGTATCTTCTAAACAGGGAGATATTTTATATCATTTCTTACCATGTAATAGTAACCATTCCCATTTTACACAAAGTAGAATCGTAAAGGATAAGAGAAATGGCTCCTAAGAAGGGTCACTGTTTATGGTTATGTAGGCTGTTCAGTGTACAACAGTACTATATCTAGGAAGGCCATTCATACTGTAAACATCATAGATTTGTATGTTTGTAAAATAGTGTTATAATTTATACATTAAATCTGTGCTGCTTCTGGCAGATGGTGATAAAGGTTTTTTAAGGAAGGAGTGTCTTTTTCTAATACGTACAATGGGACTTTATGGAATGTTAATGGCCTGGCTCTAAGGATCTCAGAGTAAAATCCAAAAAATAAAAATAATTTTTTAAAACTTTATGAGTACAACACATACATCCCTTGTTCCTCAGAGGTCTGGCTGCTACCTCCTGCCACTTATCTTAAAACTATACCCAGAAAAGTACATGATATATTAGGGGAAAATAAACATTTAGCACACTTTTCAATTTGAAAGACAGATGTTAACAAGATACCCACTCAGGAAAAAAAGTAAAAACTTCCGCCAGCAATAATATTTGTAATAAAGGCTTATCTTATTTCAATCTTGAAAAGTTTCATTTTAATAAAAATTTGTTTGAATTACTTTATACTTCACAACATAATACATGTTTTTCACTAAAAAAATATAACATTCTCTAATTTCTGTATTTTATTTTGTTTGTATGTTGGGGGAAGGAGTGTGTGTGTGATACAGTTCACTTAAAATACATTAAAAGGATGTAGCCAAAGTGACTTTTTGGCTCATTAGCCTGGTGAGGTTTCTGAAGACCCTTAAGAAACACATCCTCTATGGTATCACCACCCCTTGAAATCTGGGACAATGAGAGACTGATGACAGAGCAGGAATCAAATGTAATTCATCTTTATATACTTAGCAGCATCTAGCACAATGTCAAGTACATAGTAGTATTCAAAAGTAATTGTTGGGTGGCAAAAGAAAAACAATATATCAAGTTTAAGAAAAACAACAAAATCCTAACTTGAAAAAGTACTGATTATGTGATAAATTGTGCAACGCAAATTACATGTTCTCTCTTTGGGAAAAAAAATATCAGTATGGATGACTATTTATGCAATACAGTATTATTCTCATTATTATTACGACTTCTCTGCTATTACTCAGATCCTCTGATTTCAAAACTACTTCACATCCACTTTCCAAAATAGACTGTGGTTTAGGCTTTAGAACAGAGCTACTCAAAGTGTGGTCTGTAGACTTGTGCCAGAATTGCTTGTGATAAGTATGGAAAATCAAAGTAAGCATTTAAGAAACTTCATAGCAAAGCTGTAACTATATGAGGTGATGGATGTGTTAACTAACCTTATTGTGGTAATCATTTCACAATATATACATATACCAAATCATTACATTGTACAATTTAAACATATACAATGTTACAGTCAATTATATCTCAATAAAGGGGATAAAAAAGAATCTTTATAGCAATTTGACAGAGTAATTTTACCTCTATTGACTCTAACAACAAAAAATAAACTTTTATTTACACCTTTTTTTCTTATTTTTCTAGAGACTAGATTTTTTAAAAGGCAATCAACATAGATACCTTGGAGCAACTCAATTGTTGAAGAAGCAAATCCTCTAAGACTTTTTCGAACTTTCACTACTTTCAGTTGCTATTCTCATAAATGTGAAAAAAATGTAGCATGAGATTAAAAATGCAGAAAGAAAATAATATCACTTAAAATATTCTTACACTTTGGCTTTACAAAAATATTCTTACACTTTGGCTTTACAAAAGGCATCATGATGTAAGGTTAAACATAACAGATTTTCAGCTTTATATTTTAATCAGAAACACTACATGAATTTTTAAAATTATTACTTATTGTAGCATATTTAATGTAAGATTCTCAACCCTGACTAATTCTCAATAATTGCAAGTTATACCTGAAACCATTAAGTATTATTTATACATAAGCAGGGAAACTTTTAACAGGTTTGCCTAAGGTAAAAGACTTTCCAGGGTAGAACTTGCAGCTCTTGACTCTCAATGTCAATTCTTTCCATAATGTAACAGAACATGTTAGAACTCACTGAAGAATGTGTTCATTGAAACCAGCAATGGAATATGAGGAACACTTTAGAACTCCCTCTATTTGTGTATCTGTGCTCTTCAATACCAAGTCTACTTTCTTAAACTCAAAATAAGCAAGACATTTAGAAAAAATATTTTTAATTTAACTTTATAGTTATAGTACTTTAAGTTATAGTATTTCACAGATTTACTGGCAATAAAATTGCTTCAACTTTAACTTGAATCTTACAGAACTGACTCAAATGCTTGATTTGCTCTGACATGGTAAAGCAAAGTGGCAAGTGAACAAGTGAAATGTCCTGAAGCAAAGTCTAGTTCATTAAACTTATTACTTAAATCTCTATAATACTTTAAAATGTACATTATTATTCCACTTGGATATATCCTACATTCCTAAATAATTAATGCTGACAGAAAGTAAAAAAATGTTTTGTCTACCATGATTTACTTAGCTTTCAGAGTTAGTCTGTAAAAACATGCTTTAAATACCTAAAATATACACACATTAAACATTTCTTTAAAAAAAATTCAACCAGTCAAGACCAAAAAAAAAAATCTTTAAAATGATTAATATGAAACTAACATGAGATTATAAATGTATAAAATCTATTCCCCTAACTAGGGAGAAACTTGGGCAAAAAATGGTAGGCCCTTATCCACTAAACAATGTCAATCTTACAAGGAAAAAAAAAAAAGGTAAATTTGTAAGACTATAACAGGTCCATACATGATTTTTTAAAAATTAATACATTATACTCAGCACACAAAGGAAAATGCTTTCACTGGAACTTTCTGACTTACACAGTAAACTGAATTTATCATACTCCAAAGTTGAGGCATTTAACATACTCCTTGCTACAGCTGCACTTGTATTCCATCATGTCAATCAGAAATCTAAATATATCCTAGAAAGGAATAAACTCTACCCAAGAAGACAGATTGTAATGTGTTATAATTTTTGGAGCGATCCTCACGTCTGTGTTGTAAACATGTGTTTAGGCAGATCCTTTAGAATTTTTTGCAATTTTCATTAGAAAGGCAATGTTGATAAAAGACCCTTTTTCTCTTTTATGAGTTGTAAAAGGAAATTATAGCTATCTATGTTGGATAATCTTGTGAAGACTTATGACAACAGTCACACATACAATGTAAAAATAGAAATAAAGGAGGAAAAATAGACAATTTGGGCCTTCCTTTTACTTGCCAGGATATTCAGCACACCAAACAAGTAGAAAAAAATAGTAGCGTAAAAATCAAATATGCTTTTTCCTAGGGATTTGTTTTCTCCTTATGTACTGAAATCGAAATGGTGAAGTATATTTTAAATCTACCTTCCACACACATCATTAAGAACCAGAAGTGAATCACTTAACCCTTTTGTCAATATTGACAGTAAAATATTGGACACGGGGAATATAAGCAGATGTGTTCTCTACTTCAGAATAACAGGAAAGTCACCCTTTAAAAAGTAAAATTATAAAAATAAAATGGCATCCCTGGCCAGTTTTGCTCAGTGGTTAGAGCATCAGCGGGCACACTGAAGGGTCCTGGGTTCGATTTTTGTCAAGGGCACGGGTACCTCAGTTGCAGGCTCCATCCCAGCCCTGGTCAGGGCACGTGCCGGAGGCAACCAATAGATGTGTCTCTCACATCAGTGCTTCTCTCTCTTGGTCTCTCTCCCTCCCTTCCACTCTCTCTAAAAAAAATCAATGGGGAAAAAAAAGTAGTCCTCAGATGAGGATTAACAAACAAACAAAAAATAAAAATAAAATGTCAGCCAGCCACTTTGCCTTCCAAAATGATTAAAATTCACCATGACTTTTTTCTGACTTCAAAAGCAATCAAGAAATTGACAAAATTTTAATTGGATTATTATAAGAGGCATGTTATCACCTCAAATTGAATGGAGCTTTTGCATAAGAGTATATGCAAGTGCTTCCCAAAACGTGCCCAGTAAATGTCTCTCTGCCCCTGAAATCATCGGACGATGGTCTCCCAGATCCCTACTACTTTCCACTTTGAGAGAGAAGAAACTGTTGAAACTTTCAGAAGTGCTGTTCGATAAAAGCTTAAGTGTATGCATCCAAACAGCAACGGCAGCAGGAAAGAACAGGGAAGTGTTCCAGGAAAAAGCATCTCTTACAATCTATTCATACAAGCTTTAAAATTTTATCTCCCTAAATCAAAGGAAGCTACACAGAAGGAAAACTTAAGTAAGAAAGGAGGGGCAAAAAAGAAGATTCACCCTTTTCTGACAGGACGGAACTGGGGTGCTTTGGTAACTTCTTGATGAACGGCGGGACCATTGAACCATTTTTAAAGCAGGAAATACACTCTTTATTCAACACCAATAAACTTCACAACGTTGGACACATTCGTGTTAAGAGGTATGTGTTTTTTTCTCTCACGTGTTTAGGAAACTCAACTCTTTCTCTACACTTGGTGAAGAGCTCGGTGGGGAAGGGGTGCCGTCTGCACTCACGCCTGAAGCTCCTGTCTGAATTCTAATTTCCCAAGGGAGCACTTCTGGGTGCCTTTCTCCGCCGTCACCACACACGTTTCCACTTTCGGCAGGCGACTGGCTCCTCAGCTGTCCTGTGCGGTCCCACGTCCGGGGGGCGAAGCTCTCGCCGCTCGGGCTTACCTGGCTGTATGCAAATTGAGACGGCGACGGCTAACGCTTTACCTTCGGGGACGCTGGCTGACCTGAATGCGTGCAATCCTTAACTTGTCCTCGCCGGGTGAGAAAACACCACGCGAATACCACCTAGAGGACTCGCTCGGGCGCCGGCCGCCTGCCAGCCCGCGCGGCTGCCTCGTCCCCCAGCACTGACCCGCGAGGGGAACCGGGGCTTTGACGGGCACGGGTCGCGCGACCCTCATTTTAAACAAAATCCCACACGTAACTCTTACCTTGTATGACGTGCTCTGGAGAGATGGTCTTCTTTTCCGACTTGTTGCAAATCTCGTTGGCTTCAGAAGATATAAGGTGAATGAATTCAGTGCAGCAGTTCACCACCAGCTCCCGGGCATCGTTGGCCACCCGGACATTGGGGAGAGTCTCTTTGATCATCTTATTGATGGCAGCTCTGGGTATCGTCAGATCATCATCGTTGCCGGAGGAGGAAGCCATCGTATCTTCCTCTCTCGCGCGCGCCCCGACCGACTTTTAGAAACTCCCCAGTTGTGGTCCACTACTCCACAAAGATTTTTCAAAAGGCCGCGCTCGGAGCGATCCTGGGGCGCTATGAGAAGAGGGTGCAGAAAATGAAGGGGGGAGCTGGCACTACAGGGCGGGGAGCACCCGTGTGTGAGATTTAGGGCGAGGTTGAGAGG